ATTAAAAGCGCATAATTTGTGACCAGGGTGAAAAGCATGATCTAGATGACCTGCCACACACTGCAAGGAACTCTGTGGCAGAGCCAAGGAGAGAATCCAATTCTCCACAGCTGTGTTCAGTTGTGAGCTACCCAATCCTTTTCTTCCAGTAGTGGTGGGTTTTTGGAGGACTCCGCCTCTCTCAAAATTGTGACGTTTTATTAGCGGGGATTTTTTTCCTCCAAAAAATGAGTTTTGTGCTTAGCACTCTGAGGCTGACAGTACCCACTAGAACTAGGCAGAGTGTACGTGCAGGAAATGTGGACATTTCCTCCATATCGCTTGGCTAATGCAAATCAGTCTTGATCTGCATAAAGCCCTTTCAGTTCTTCATGAAGCCCTTTTAGTTCTAGACTCCTTTTCGCAAAAAATTCCAATTAAATACCTCATTGAGTCCTGCAGTCCCTCCTGGCCCCTTCATATTTCCGTCTCTGAACTAAAATCCCCTGGTTTGTAACAACCACTGCCGTTCCAGTCCTGGGCCCCACTTAAGCTGGTATTACCAAACAAAGAGAGCATGGGCCTGTTACACCTGAGTCTCTGTTGAGCAAGATAAACTTCTGTATCATGTTTTGACAGAACACCACTGTGCAGGACGGAAACATACTGATATGAAATAATGTTACTTTACAGGGATCAAATACTATTAGGGAAATTTGTGTGTCCTAGAAGCCAGGATCGTTTGGGCATGGGAACCTTTAGAAAAGATTGGATAGGTAGAAACCCTAGCTCTTGTGCATTTTTGAACACATGACTATGCCTAAAACAACTACAGCTGATGTTAATAATTGATAAAGCACTATTATACTACTGAGCACCCAGATGACTTCTGTAGGGAAAACACAAGCTTGGGTTAGGGTTGCTCCCAAAGAGCTTAGGTAAAGAACTTTTTACAAGCTTGAACAGGTGTGGACTGTCTCTCTGGACACAAAAAAGAGGTGAAGGGATAGAGTGTGGCTTAACAGAGATAGCCTAGTTATGCTGTATAAAGGGCATTCTCTCCTGTCCTTGAGAGAAGTACACAGACTTGACTCAGAGGTCCTGATGACATGCAAAAAGCCTCCTCAGGAACCTTAGGCATTTGTAAGGTTTGAGGTCTAGCCAGCACTGAGAGGCTCTTCTAGCCTGGGGCTAGATGACACAAGCTGCTTTCCTTTGTTTTCATTCATTTTGTTTTTCTCTTCTTCTTCAACAGGATCTTCTGTTTATAAGCTGTTATTACCTGACTGTCAGTATGAAGGAGAGCAGGTGCTGGTGCTGACAAAGCAAGCCCTCAGAATACCTGGGCACCAAGGCCCACTGTTATGATGTTACTGCACACAGCTGTGTCCATTGCTCACCTCAAAGCGTGGCAGGAATGTGATTTGAGTTGAGGCTCCTCCCAGGTCCAGAGTCCCAACTGTCTGCTGGTTCTGGCCATATAGCTGCCCTGTGGAAAATAACACAGACTAGCCCACTATATTCACATTGCAAAATTGGAGACTGCTGTTTCATGGAGACTGTCATGTTTTCAGTGGTTTACAGCTCCAAGGGAGGGGCTGATTTGGCCTTACAGGTTCGATAGTCAGAAATACACACAATGAAGATGGAAATCCCAATGTAAACTTTGTCTCAGTAATATACTGGGGTGATATCTGGACAACAGCAGAAACAGAAAGGATGGGCTTTTCCTTTCTCCCCCTTACACACGCACATACTTGATTCCAACTTCATTTCCATAGAGCTGAAGGAGGGTAAATCTCTACATATCCAACACACTGTGTGGAGGTATAATCTAGCAGGCTATAGAGGAGGATATGTACAATCCCAGGATTTAGCTAACTCTTGGGGAACAAAAGGAGGGAGGGGCAAACACTCTGAGCTCCAGCTCCAACTTCTACTATTTCCTTTCAGATAGGCACAGCCTCATCTTCCAGTAACTCAAATGTTTCCTGGACACTGCCTCTTTTCTCTGTTACCAGATTGCATTCTTGGAACTTATTTTGGGCTAACTCTTGTCCTGCCTGGCAAGGTTTAGGTACTAACAACTCCCCCATTACTCTACTTCTGCTGTTCAATTCCCAATGGGTTTTAAACCATTTTACAACCCTTTTCTACCTCTTTCAAAAAGACTGACATAAGCATTCCCCAGTTACAAGGCTTGGATCTAGTTGTTTGGACAGCTAGATCTAGCTGTTTGGACAGCTGTGCCTAGCTAGTACAGCCCTGAGCAGGGTCTCAGAACGCTTCAGCCCAGCATTCCTTCTTCCTGTTAAAGAAGCAGTGCTCCAAGCAGGATTTTGCCATTTTCTGCACAAAAAAATTCCTTGATTTTAGCTCTGCTTCCACAATGGAGAGGGGAGGGAGAATAAGCCAGCTAGGGGAGTGAGGAACAGAGACTGAATCCCTTCTGTGGAAGTGATTCAGTTCAGGGCAAAATCATCCAGAGTTAATTACCTGTCAGAAAATTCACAGTGATCCAGGCTAAAATTCCTACAAAAAAGGGGGGGAAAAAAAAAAATCACTGAAACTGCTATTTGCCACCCCTTCATCCCCTTTGGACAGGTCTGTCAGGATTTGTATAGCATTAGGTGCTTTTCAGATAAACAGGTGCCTGCCCCAAACATCTCAGCCTACTTAAACTTACCACAGAATGACACGTGTAAAAGATGAGAATCACATGAGGAGACAGTGCGGTGCGGTTTACTTGTGCCTGTGTGTAAGCAAGAACTGGGCCCACAATCATGATGATGACACAAACGGGCACAGAATTAAGGCAGCACATGCAATTTCCTTTGGGCAGTAGCTGACTTTTATGAACTTAAATCCCTCACCTGAAAAGTAAATACACATCCCATCTCAAAACACACAACTATGCCTAAAATAAAACAAAACTGATGTGGAGTATTGATAATGTATTATACTACTAAGCACCCAGGTAATTTCTGCTGGAAAAATCCAAGCTTGAGTCCAGGGTTAAACTGTTTCCAAATAGCCGAGATGTATATTAAGTGTCTGTACACGGCAAAACATGAAAATCTCTTTGTCTACTTCGGCCACTGAATTTGGCATTGGGACTGGGTAGTATCTGGGTAAAGACCACTGGTGAGATGCCAGCTGAAAGTAGTGGTTTGGGGAGGAAACTTCAAAAATAAAAACTGCTGAAGGCTCTACTGCCTTCTGTTGGGCCTAACTAATACACTATTTCAGAGAGACAAACTTTTATAAGCCACAGCTTACTGTCTTGTGAAAGCTTATGCCTCTGAATTAGTCTATAAGGTATCACTCTGCCCTACCTTCTATATGACTTCAGACTACATGGCTAACTACTTCTCTCTACATGCTATTATCACCCTTATCATTCCTATCTGTTCTTCCTTCCATTATTTGCAGACTTATACCCCTTCCCCATTGCCTGTCAGCTAACCTCACCTACCTATACATCAGTTTGTTCTGCAGACTGATCATTTTGTCTGATTTTTACAAAGCACCCATCAAATTGGCAATACATTTGTGGCAATGCAATGCTCAGTACTGAACATAACACCCCATAACACCATCAGAAATATATAAAGAAGTCTTATTGCCTCCCTATTGTTTGAGATGAAGCTTTTGGATATACAGCCAAAATTCAGATTGGTCCATTTTGTGGCTATGCCATATTGCAAATTCATTTCTACGGCTATGCCATATTGCAAATTCATTTCTAAATTGCCGGCCACTTTACCCCATTATCTTTTGTAGCCATTCCTCTGCTTTTGTTTCTTGGTTACTTGATTAGCTGCAGTTTTCCAAGATGAATCTTGTTTTATTACCTTCCCAGGTTTCCAGTCCCTCATAGGTTCCTATGTAATATTTCTCTCCTCAGTAGTATTTGCAATGCTTCCAAACAGTTATTTGCAAATTTCATTAGCTGGTCTTTTAACTCATGTTTTGAATTGTTAATGAGACATGTAACAAAATGAGTCCTGAGAGCAATCTCTTCAGTGCTTATTTAGCACTTTCCAATGGTGTCATACTTTGCTGCTTGCCCACTTTAGCTTGTCAAAGATGGCAGATTACTGTACAATCTTTACTCCTACCACTATTCATGGGCAAGCACTCAACTGTTCAGGCTCCTTGTATTGTAGATTTGAAGATGTATGAAGCAGTGACCCTGGCTATTTTTGTTCACCTAGTACCAGATATAGGCTTCTTCTCTGGTAGGATTCTCTCTACATCATACAGTGTCCTTATTAACTCTTTGCCTGCCTGCATTTGTAGCTGAAATAGCTACCTGGGTAGTTGAAATTCCACGAATGCAACTGTATCTGGTGGTTCCAAATATCTTGACAGCCAGCCATAGTCTGTTCCTTCCTTCAGTCCAGGGGACTATTTCTCATTCCTTCTTGCTTCCATAGTTATTTCTGTCCCTTTTGCTCTCCCCACTCCTGCCTTCTCAACACCCACCTTCATAAGATCCATCCATGATGCTAACACTATTGTCTGGAACGAGAAACGGTGATTCCTCAAAGACTTCTCTCACCTAAGGGAAGAGCAGAGATTATTAAATTGTCTGGGCCTGGGGTCTGGCTCTGCAACGAAGGAATTAGACAAAGCTTCCCCTTCCCTCCCAGGCTATAAGTAGTAAGGCAAGAATGTCCTTGGCAAAGCTTTCCCATCCTTCTCAGGATGCCAGAAAGAAAAGAAGGGCACATACTGGGTCCCCTCTCCACACACCACCTTGCCTATATCAAGGCAGCAGGATCTCAAAGTCACAGCAGGAGGGTTTTGGGATCTGTGAGTTATACACCCTTATGGAATTACAGCTATTTTTCCCACAGCTGAGACTCTGGCATGGCAAAGAACATGGAGAAATGAACCGTGAAAGATGCTGTGTGAAAGACCTCACTACTGAACAAAGATGATCCTTGGTATCATTACCTCCAGGAGCAGAGCCTGGGCTTTCTGCTCCGATAGCAGCCGCAGCCCAGCAGTAGCTTTCAACACCACTGGGGTCTTCTTCCAATGACTTCGTGGCACAGCTTCTTTGGCCATTTCCAACAGTATTCTGACAGTTTCTGCACCCTAAAATTAAATGGAAGCTGTTTTTTCCCCCCACACTGTTTTCTCTATTGAGCAGAAAGCAGGATTCACTTCACTATCACCTCTTTCATCTTAACTACTAGAGAAAATACAGAGTGAAGGGAAGTACACACAAAAGGCCAGCAGCATGCTCAGATTTCACAGTGACAGCCCCCTCAGAAAAACCAGAGAGAGATTAAAAAAGCAGATTAACCATCAAGCATGAGGAGACACCTGTTTACAGAGCTCTTGTCAGAAGAGGGAATTTGACTTGTTTGCTCATGGAATTTTAAGCTTTAATTTTTTGGGGGAAAAGTCAAATATCTTACAAATCTTGAAGTCATGCAATACAATACCACCATTTTTTCTGAAGTAATTACTGCTGTAAGAGGCAAGGGAGAAGGAAGGGTGAGGGTATTTGTGGATTTCCACTCAGTGCAATGTAACAGTGAAATGAGATAAGAATGCCAAGTTGGTGAATAGCAAATAGTGTGATTAATTTCAAATGGTGAAAGTGGAATTGTACAAGGAACTGGATGAACTAGCACAAAGTCTTCAACTACTTAGTATATTATAGCATTTTGTGCAGGGTAGCAGCAGTGAACATTTCTTTGTGAAATATTTTGCTGTTCCTTTATGGGCAGTTTCACTCCTCTGCAATGTTACCATCTGGTAAAACTTCAGGAAGCTGATTGCTGCTGACATGGAAGCAGAAGATAATTAAAAAAGCCATTCACTCTTGCCTGATATTTCATGTTCACAGAGTCTCCCTCAAAATGAATTCCTATAACATTAAATTAGCAGGATGTCATCAGTGTACCAACTACCCTATCACAAGAGTCAGAGACCATCGGGGAGAGAGGAACCAGGCTGCCATTCTCCATCATGTCCTCCAGCCTGTGCACAAGGTCACATGTGGTTTCTGAAACCTCTGGCAGCACTCCCCAGCACTGGCTCCATATAGCAGAGTAGCAGGATTCTTCAGCTGCCCTATCCTGTTGATTATTGCTGCCTCACTAAGGTAGCCATGGCTCCTTAGATATCACTTGAATGTAACAAGGGTGAGACTAGCTCTCTAAAGAGAAGGAAGAGCCCTAAGGAAGTTTTTTACCTTCCTCTCCAGCAAAGCCTTATGCCTATTTGTTACTCACATTTTGCATTAATAAAACCAAACCACAAGAGAAGGTAATCATGTTTCTTTATAGTGAATGTTTATTCAATCCATCTGGTACTGGGTTTGCGCTTTACCACTTCATAAAGTCTTCTTGTCCCATTCTCCTCTCTTTAAAGCTAAAGCACACATATTCACTGAGTGGCCTGACAACAGACTCACACATGTATTACATTGTGGGATAAAGTGTTTTTTATGTACCAACCCAAGTTTCTTGCTGCAGAGAGTAGGATGCTGAACAATGGTTTGAAGTTGCAGCAAAGCAGGATTAAATTGGTTATCAGGAAAAACACTTCTTCATTATTAAAATGGTGAGGCAATGGAATAGACTGCCTAGGGAAATTGTGGACTCTCCAAAACTGAAGGTGTTTAAGAAGAGGTTGGACAACCACCAGTCAGGGATGATACAGGCCTAGCTACACCTATGTTCTACCATGGGTATTTCCCATGCTTCTGGGCTTTGCTGGCTGCCTCCTCCCTGCCTTTCTGCTACATGTGTCAGGGTGTCTGTAAGTCTTCCTCAGAGGCACTGGGTCTCAGCTGCAGACAAGACTGGGGATTTGGACTCGGAGGGAGGGGCGGCGGGGTGCCACTGCTCCTGCTGGTACTTAAAGCCAGAGGTTCCTGGGTACAGGATCTAGCCCCTCTGCTCAAGGTCAGACCCAATCACCGTATCTGGGGTCAGGAAGAAATTTTACCCCATTGTCAAACTGGTATGGCCTGTGGTGGGTTTTGTCTTCCTCTGCAGCAGGGTAAACAGCCCTCTACCTGAGATTTCTTGAGGGTATATTAACAACCTTTCATAGAAGCAGGATGTTGGCTGCCATGGTTCCCCTGATTTACTTGTGCAGGTTAGGGTGTTATTTCTTGTGTTGTGTCAGGGTTGATAGTATTTTTACGAAGAGTTTAGATTATGGTTGTATGGGATGACTTGGATAGGGATGATCCTGCCTCAGGCAGGCGGCTGGACTACATTACCTCTGGGGGTCCTTTTCAGCCCTAATTCTCTATGATTTTATGAAAAGGAATGCAAATAAACCAAGTGCCTGTACTTCCGGAGGCTTAACATTAAGAAGCGTGCCCAAGGCAGAAAGTGATGGAAAGTAGATCAGGTAGGCAGAATACAGAGATCAAAATTACTTCTTGTTATTGCTGACACTTGTCAGGTGTCTGTGAAAAATACAAGGAACCCTGGGAGGCATTAGAAGATTGGTACTAGACTGACTGTCTAATTCATAGTTCCTCTGAGTGATTCTATAATCATTTGCCCATCTCTAGATCTTCCTTCCAAAAATTGTACCACTTCATAAAGAATGAACTGGTCTTCACAACAATTACGTGAGGTAGGTGACTATTACCCCCATTTCAGAGATATGGAACCAGAGAGGCAGAAAACTAACATGACTATACAAGGTCACACAGTGAATCTGGGGAAGAATCAGAGAGAGAATTCAGATCTCTTAACTCCCAAGTTTTAGCCCTCAAGATGATCCAAAGAATTACTGTCTTGCTGCTGTTGGAATCTTCAACCAAACATTCCTTAACAAGCATGTGCATTAAATTTTGAAACTTGAATGGTTCAATATAGGGTAGCAGTTCCGAATATTTTCTCCTAGTAGAACTGACCTCTGACTGGAAATATGAATGGGAGTCATCCTCAACTATGTTCCCTCTTTTCTCATCCCCCATTTGTTTCCACTTTCCTGTTCTCTCCTTTCTTTTGTGAATCTGTTCTCTTATCAGTGACTGATTGCCTTCCTTCTCTGTTCTCCACTTACCAGCAGGCAAAACTGGTGTTCAAGCTCGGAGTGAAGGATCACTGATGGCTCAGTGGGTTAGGCCACCTGTATTCTTGCAAATATTTCATAGGCAAGTACCATGGCAACAGAGAAGAGAAACTGGGTTGTTGCCTGAGCCTGCAGGCTGTTTTACTAGCTGCTTCCACATGGCTAGTTCCATTAGGAGCTGCTGCACAAGTATAGAGTCAGGTGAGTGGCTTTAAATAATGTGTTCTGGTTTTAAGTTAGGCCAAGGGTAGATCAGATTTAATCAGCCTCCATTCCCAACACTCCTCTTCTATGCCTCAAGACCAAATGCAACAGCGAGGTGTGCATATGCACAGACACACACACCTTTATCTTCCCACCCCATGGTGAAATGGATGTAAGCGTTTGCATTGAACTTCCTTGTTTATAAAACTGATAAACCTAGCTATGGAACCCTGAAACTGTGCAACTGTTTTACAAAATATTTGCATTCTGTGTGTCTGAAAATGACTCTTACCTGCTTTAAAGCTTCTACACTAACTTTCCACAGCAAAGCTTATTAAAAGACAATTGCTCATTCAAGCTTTGCCACCTGCAAACTTTAACTTTTTCATGGTTCATATCTTCAAGTTGTTCCTGAACAAAACCCTCCCATTTTTCAAGTTAGCAAAACACGCTTTTCTTCTTGGTAACAGAAACTGAACAAATTTGTTTCTTCAACATTTCCAAGAAAAAAAGATCACTTC